CGCAGCTTCTGGCGGGCATTTATTTCTGCGCGGCGTCGGCGAAAGCATCCACTATGGTGGTGCGGGGCTCGTCTTGCGCGCCCTCCAAGGGGCCCCCGTTTCCTATGCGATCCACGACAGCACGCTGGAATGCCTCTGCCGGCCGGCCGCGCGAGAGCGCTGCGACATCCAGCCGGGCAGCGCGGAGCCGGGCAACTTTCGGAATGTCCATGCGCGCGCGGCATAGCAAGAGAGAGGGATGCAATGCCAGAGCGGCGCCCCGCGCAGGCTGAGCGCCGCAGGCGTGTCCTTGAAACTCGCGCGAGGCCAACGAGAAATCGACCTGGCCGAAATGCCCCGGCGTGGCTGGATCTGAAGGCCGAGGCCTGACGTTGCAGCGTAAGACTTGCTCCTCCGTCCCGTGCTTGAAGAACGCGTTGCTGGCCACCGAGTCGCTGGGCGCGCAGGACTCCATCAGGAAACTCCTGTTCGACTTTGGATTGATCTCCGCGGCGGGGTTGCCAAATGTGTGCGGGCCCGCGTGCTCCTCCTCATGCGGAAAACGTGCATTGAGTCTCGCATCGAAGCCCCCCCATCAATATCCTGCCTCCATGCCCGGACACGTTGCGAACCATTGCGTCCAGAATCTGGTAGAATTCGCGTCTCTCTGCCACTGGCTTTTCGCTGTGGGGCGCGCGCGCGCGCTGAAGATGGGTATCTTTCCTCCTCGCACCCGGATATTGGCGATGGCGACCCTGGAGGAGATCGTCCGGAATCCAGCGACGCTCTGGCGAATGCGAGACGAAAATAAGAAACCCACCCCTGCTGTATCTCAATCGTCAGGGTCTCCAGATAGCAACGATAAGTAACCCCTGTGGGTAACATGTGCATGCGGACTCGTAATTGTACGCTTCCTGGAGCGCCAACATGTCAAGTCCAATGCCCCCCATCCGAAATAGTAATTCCTCCAACTTCTTCTCTGGAAGCCCCTCGATGATCCGAGAGCCAACGGCGTCGTCCGTAGCGCAAGAGCGCAGCCGCCCAACTCGGAAGTCAGGATCACCCTCTCCAGGGAAAGCTGTCCCTCTTGTACTCCTCGTTCTGATGTTTGTGCTAGTACTCGTTGCGTGAGCTGTCGAGGAAGTCGCATGGCGATGTGTTGCAGCAGAGCCGACTGCGGATATCGATATGCTAGACATGCAATCCAAATTCATTAACCGATAGTTCATAGACGCAATATTGCCGAGGAGTCAATGACTAATGGGCCCTCGCCCACCTCCCTTGGCCACGCCCGTGGTGCCCTTCATGCCCTTCGCCCCCTTCATGCAGGCTGACGCCTGGGCCAGCAGGTCATTGCACGTGCTTCTCAGCTTTTTGACGGCAGCGTGGTTGTGCAGCTCCCTCCACGTAGCCTCTCCCCTTGCCACTCGTGGAGAACGCCATCTGGAGACGCATGTACTGTCAAAGCGTGTTCTCCCCCCACCGTCATGACGTACGGGGCCTCTTCCGTGATGGAGACTGCGCAGGGGACGGCCCACTCCGTCTTCCCGAAACAATATTTCCTGGCAGCGCGATCTGCTGGGAACCTATCCTGGTTGGCCCAAACATGCTTCTGGCCACTGTGGAGGCCCGCGCGTCGGAGTAGCTCAACAGCAAGATCCCGATCGGACGAGGAAGTGACCTCCGCGAAACGATCCCCTTGAAGTCGCCCTTGCTGTAGATCTTCGTTGGCAGAGGGTCGCCCAGGGTCTGCAGCTTGTCCTTGGTCCAGCTCATCGCGTCCTCCAGGCTGGCGAGCCCGTCGAAGTTCCCCCTGATCGCCGTCAGGGCCCGCCTGTCCGTGGACCCTCCCGGTGGAACCCTCGAGGTGGATTGGGCAGGAGCCTCATGCAAATATTTCTCAATGCGCTCACGGATCGTACTCTCGAATCGGTCGTCGTCCATGCCCTGGTGTTTCTGCAGGTCTTCGTAGATCGACTCGAGCTTCTCCACCCTCACGTCGGTCACGGTGATGCGCTTCTCCAGGGACTCCAGGCGCTCGAACAGCGCGGTGATTAGGTTTGTGATGTTGGAGTCCATCCTGGCACACTCCTTCTGCACTTGCGACACGGCCGAAGCGACTGGCGCAAGCTGCTGTTGGAGGAGTGTCGCCATGGCCGCCGTGGTCACCGGCTCCTGCGCGGAGATGTGCTCCTCCTCCTCCTTCTCGTCCTCGTCCTCGTCCGTGCGGTAGTAGGGCGCTTGCGTTTCCTCTCGTTCGGCTCCTTCGCCAAGCAATGGCGAGTGAGGTCTGTGCCCCGTGCGAGCGAACTTCATCTTATCCCACGGGCTCTTGGTGAGCACGTCGCGGACAGGAGTGCCTGCGAGGCGGGTGTTCCGAGGTCTTCGAGGGGGGGACTGGACTCCGACATCGCTCAAGATCTTGGAATGCTCAGCCCCAAGGTTCAAAATAACACATGTGCCATCCGCGCTGGAGGGCGCCATCGGGGCTAGAAACGAACGATCGATTCCCGGACACGGG